GCGGGCGCTCGCGTGCCGGGCGCCGGGCCCTGCACCCCCGCCGCTCGCTGCTCGGCCTCGGAGCTTTCTGATGGGGAATGCGTGGCTGGGGAATGCGGGGGCTGCTGGCCCGGGGGGACACGGCTGGGCGGCCGGGAAAGGGCTGCCACACACGCACACACACACGCACCCACACACACACCCACCCACCCACACACACACGCACACCCACACCCACACCGGTGGGCACCAGGCACCCACCCTCCTTAAAGAGACTCGACCCGTAAAAAAATGCATTTACAATCTCCGTCTCTTTCTTTCCCCCCAGAAGTGTTTTCTGCGTGGAAACAGCCCTGGGGCAAAACTGGTGCCCCAAGGGGATGGAGAAGTACGTGGCAGCCGTGGTGCTGAGCACGGTGGGTGACACGCTGGGCTATTGCAACGGGCGGTGGGAGTTCGAGCGGAGCGGCCCGGCCATCCACAAGGAGCTGGCGGAGATGGGGGGACTCGGCAACATCAGCATCCGAGGTTGGAAGGTCAGCGATGACACAGTGATGCACTTGGCCACAGCTGAAGCCCTGGTAGCTGCTGGGAAAAACCCAAGTTTAGCCCATCTCTATTCCCTGATCGCAAAGAACTACAAGGAGTGCATGAATGACATGGAGGGTAGAGCTCCAGGTAATCTCTCCATAATGCTGTCTGGGCAGGGCTGTCCTCTAGCTGACATCTCCTTTCCTCCATCTTGGAGCTGAGGCTGGCCCTGTCTCTGCTTTTGGCTGTTCATGGCATTAGCTGTATTTCATGTAAAGGCAAAAGCTCTCCACAACGAGTACATCTTTCAGGATCAACTAAAGAGGACAGAGTAAGGCAAGCTGTGAAGTGGTTTGGGTTTCTTTCAACTAGATGAAAAAGATTCTGTTTTGCCCACATTTACAAAACATTCTTACAGCAGTGTTTTGAGGCCTGGTCTTGAACTAAGGGGAGGGATGCTGGCGTTTGCACTGGGGATGTGCCTTTTCCTACACTCTGGATTAAAAATGCAAATTCAGCCATATATAATGTGCTCCCTGAGGTGCTGTGTTAAAGCAACACTTTTAAACAATTAATACAGAACTTCTCATAATAAATTCAATACATTACACATAAAAGTTAATTTAAAGGCACAGAGATCCTTCCTTGGAATAATTAAGTTTATTAAGCAGAAAGTCTCCTTCTGGTAGCTCTGCATGTCTACTTTCTGTGCCAGGACAGTCAGGCCACAATATTTTTTTCTGAACCCCCTACTTCCATCACTTCTCCTTTTTCTGCATAGACACAGTGGTGCCGAGGCTGGGTCACTGGCAGTTTGTGGCAGGATTCAGGAAGGGTGACATGACAGGCTGCAGTAGGCAGTGTATGCAATGTATTCCTGTAGTTCCTAGTTCACCCAGGCTTGCTGACCCAGCTTTCTCCTGAGGGGCACATCTCTCTCTGTGCTCCCACGGGCCCAGCCCCTTCTGGTTCTTGAATTCAGTTTAAACTGGAGCTACTGAGGCTGGGCCTCTAATTTGACTAGTTTGGGCAGCATGAAGTATCCAGGAAACACTCAAATTCAGCAATCTTATGCAGAGCATGTACATTGAAAATAAATTGCCTAGACATGGCTATTTGGAGTGGCCAGAATATATCAAGAATGTTCTGACTTGACATGAAACATGGGAAAGGCCAAATCCTGCATTGCTCTCTTAGGGTCATTGAGCATAGTGTGACACAGCTGTGCATTTCCAAGGCAAACCAGGTTGGAAACTCCAGCAGTTGGAAACTTACCTTTCCACAGTGACCCTTGTTTAAAGAACTAAGCTATCGTTATTCTTGAATCCAGATAGTCTCAATTGTTGGAGTAGCCTAATGAACAAAATATTTAGGAAGGGGCACTGATGCTTGCCAAGGTAGCAGGAGTCAGCAGGTTGAGCTTACAAGGGACACACTGGGGTAGGTCCCCCAGATGATGGGGCTTGCGAAGGTGGACAAACCGCAGAGGGCAGTGAGACAGCACCTGAAAGCTATTTTTACCTTCTTGTCTAAGCTTGTGACTAAAACCTGAGGTGAAAAGGAGAACATAAAGTGGTGTCAATGTTAGTAATTAATAACTAAGGATAATAGCAAGCCTGCTACAGTCCTTCTATGAGTAACAGCTGCAGTATGCCCCAAAGCAGTTCCCATTTGGAAGTGAAGGATTTTTAAGTAGATTTGCTATGGACACTAATCTGAGGGACAAGGAAAGGTCAGGTTGTCTGGCTAAACAAAGAAATGCAACTTCTTTAGTAGGTCCATAGACACTTGAAGCTGTAAAATTTTGAGGGAAGTGGGGAAAGTAAAGTTGTAAAAAATGGAAGTCTGTTGGGAATGTTCTTGCAGCAGCATTCTGGAGTGCTCCTGCTGCAGCCCCAGGAAAGGTGCTGGGCTCTGAAAGCTTAAATCTTGACATTTAACAGTTTAATGCCTACTTACGTACTACCAAAGGGCATACATAATCCATATCCTGAAAGGCTGTCTGCAATCTGGAATCTATGCCATATTGACAAATCCTAATGAGAAAAGCTGAGTGTCAATAACTTGTTTCAGCAGTTCAGAGTAAATGGATTTTAACTAAGAATGTAACCCAAGCTGATGCTGTTCTGGCCAACGTAAGTACTCGCCGGGGAACTGCAGCCCTTCAGGCTGAGAGTGAAAAGTTGCTGCTGCAACTTCCATCCAACAGAGAAGAGATTCCCCCAGAGCAGTGGGGGAAAGCCACGCTGACCACCCACACAAGGGAGTCCAGAGCTGAAAACCAAAACCTGCTGTACCAAAGGGATTCTCACAATGTTATGAGTCACCAGACCAGACTGTGAGACAGGGTCCCTCAAGTCTGCAGTCCCAGGGGAGAACTTGCTTTCTTCATTCAATGGCAAGTTAATTCCTGCATCTATTAGTGCTCTTTGTGATGTGCCACAGCCCCACATTCATTGTTCTTCTAAGATAACAAAGCCAATTAATTAAGTGACACAAGCATGGCCGCATTTGTTTTTTCATGGTACAACTACATCTGCCTTCACAGCTCTTCAAGAAACCTTCTGTCTTTTGTTCCAAGTCCTCTCCCTGTGTGATTATTTACCACTATATGGTTCTTTTAACTCACGTTATTTTGTGTGTGTGTATCTATCCCAAATAACTGTTGTCTGTGCTCATAGTCTAAAGAAATGGAAGGGAAGCCTATTCCAGAAATAATGTCCAGTTGTACTTTAAACTTTTCCAGATTGTCATTCTTCAGACACTGCTTTTTGCTTGTATTTCTTCTTTCCTTAGACCAGTACCCTCCTCAGGTTACTTTTAATTTCTTATTCTTAGTACAAAGGATTCCTAACCAGGATTTGGTGCCTTTCCAGAAGAGAATTTTCTGATTCAAAAACTCCTGCAGCAGTTTGTTTGAACTTGTTTTTTAAAAAAGACCTGACAACATTATTTCAGCTTAGTCTTCCTAAATTGGCTTTCAATTGCTTTAATATTTAATGGTTTAAATGAGGATAATACTGGTGATAATTCATAAATCACAAGGGTCTTCACTGTTGTGTACTGTTTTTTTCATACTTTTTTTTCACTTGCAGGTTATCATTAATCATTTCCTAAACTAATACAGGTTTAAAGATGCAAATAAATTGTAATTGCATAATAACCTCTCTTTCCTTACAGCTTTAATCTTTGCCACCTTCCTCATTTTCTTTTTGACTGCAGTCAATGCAAGAATAATCTCACTTTTTATCAAGGACTAGAGTTGCCTGCTCTCAACCTGCCCAAACATGTTCTAAAGAAATGTCTTTCTCACAAGCAAGATTACAGGGTTCATTTTGCTTTTGTTATGCAGATTTTGATCTTAAATTGTCCTAGTCCCTTTGGTCTCTCCCCTTCCTCTTGTCTTCCTGGCAGAAGGTCAGTGTTTCCAGGAACATACAAATAAAAGTAGAAGGCACAGCTTTTCTGAAAATGAGGCTTTGTTTGACAGGTTCTTTTTAATGTCCTTTTACAGGTTGTAACTGTAACATGGTAAGATTTTATGGTAAGATTTTTGAAGAAATGCCTCAGTTTTCTGTTAATCGCTGTGAAGTTGGACATTATACTGATACCATTTAATGATTTTGATGCATAGCAGCCAGCACTGAATTAATGAACTGCATGAAAAGCAGATTTAGAGGCCTGAACGTGGCCCCACTTTGACACATCATAAAAACAAACTCCCAGGCTGTTCAGTTAAGAGGTTGGTGGCCATCAGTCCCAGCACAGCCCAGTGCTCCTCACACCAAACACTCTGCCTATAGCTTCTTCCAGCAGAGAAACATGTTCCCTCAATTTCCACTCTGTAAATTGCCGGGAAGAAGGATGGGTAAGGAACTCCAGGAATGATCCAGGGGTTGTCTGGCTGTGTGGCACCACAAAACCAGCAGGTCTCACCTGCTGAGAAGAGTGTCACGGTGGCGTCACACAAGAGGCTGGTGTTCTGCTGGCAATGCAGGTGTGGATGAGGCTGGTGAAACAGCAGGTCTGTCTTGTGCCTGGGCCATGCCATGGGGAAATCAAGAGAGCTAAAGTGGCCTGATGTGGGTAGCAAGCCACTTTTTCCTATGGGGGAGATGTGCTAAAGCAGTGTGCATTCTCAAGGTTGGTTTCTGTTGGCAGGTTCTCATCGCAAACGGCCCAAGGGCCACAGGACCGAGCTGCTTTTTCAGTTTGAGGCAACCAGAGATGGGGAGCCAGGCACAGAGGGCTACGTCCTGCGCTGATCTAATAAACCTAGAATGTAACAAGACTGTCAGAAAAGAAGTATGCTAAAGACACTGAGACCAGAACTAGGAAAGGATCCACATGACCTTATTCCTCACATCAGCCATTATTTATTTTTAGCCCATGTCCAGAAGCCAGCCTTAAGTGAGCTTGGGTGTGGTATTTCGGTTACGAGGGTGCTATAAATGCCATATGCAGCTAAAACACTGCCATATACCACTGCCAAGCATATACATTAAAATGCAGAAGTGAGCAGCTCTGCCAAGTAGTTAGGGCAGTACCTAAGAAGCTACCAGATCACAGTCATCAAATTGCACCAAAAGGTAATTGTGTTGTAGAGTTATATGAAATAAGTTATATGTAGAGTTAATATATGTAGAGTTAATTATAGAGTTATATGACCAGGCTTCTTCCTCCCTACTCTGTTCTACTTAGCTTAACTTTCAAAGTAACAGAGCACCTTCAAGTTTATCAGTTACTTCTCCTGGTTAGGCCCCAAAGTTGAGGAGCAATGGTCTAATTTTGGGTGCATGAGCATGTCAACTGCTGCTGTTACCGTGTGTGTCTGAGAGAAGACTAGACACACTGTGGTTAGAAGACTGGTCTTTGGAGTCCACTTTCACCATTCTCCAACACATTAAAACTTAAATGATGCTGCTTGAAAGCTGCCTTTTATTTACCTTTCTGCTGGAAAAGAAATATTTAAGATTTGGCCAGAAGAGAAGACTAGGAGAAAAAGGCAAGGTAGAAGAGAATCAAAGATGATTTAATGTTTCAAACCTGTTTTCCTTGCACACGAACATTTGCACTTAGTTCTCAAAACTTGTTTCATGGTCTTGGCTAGGGAAGCTGGCTGAGCTGAAATTGGGACGTTTTCTGCAGGTGGCTTTATCCTATGAATGTGCTGGAATAACAAGTGAGTTTCTGAAGCAGCAGCACTGGAAGGAGTGGAGTAATTTCTTTAAAAAGTAAATAGCAAAACTCTGAAAGAGATGGAAGTGGGCAAGGAAGAGTTATGGTGCAGCTTCCTACCAGGAGAGGTAAAATTAAGACCATGGTATCAGCTCGGAGCAGGAGAAAACTGAGGAAGAGAAACAAACCATAGTGTCTTGGATAGAGTGGAGCATGAAAAGTCATTATTTCCTGTAATGTAAGAGTTAGAGGGGAATGTAAGGAAATTGTCAAATGGCAGTTTAAAATAGAAGGAAATGCTTTGCATTAACAAAGTTGTGGCTCTGGTTACCATGCGATGTTAAAGGAGTCTGAAGGCATGCCTGGGTTCAAGCTAAGTAGACCAGTTCCTGCTGGTTAGGTGCACTGGGGGTTATTGAACACTGCGTTTTGGATCCATCTTCTGACTCAAGCAGGCTGTGCTCCTCTGTCTGCTGGAAGCCAGGCAGGTCTTGGGGGAATATTGTACTTGCCTTATTTTTTATAGTCTTTCTGTAGTTGCCTGTTAGCAGCTGTGTTTGGAGATGAGCTAGTGGGCTGGACAAACCTTTGGTCTGGCCTAGTACAGTTGCTTTTCAACTTATTGAAGAGGAGTACAGTAAAGCTATTTAGGCAGACGATGTTGTGGTGAGGGAGGTACTACATTTATTGCTTTCTGGCAAACTAAAACTGTAGTGAAGGAGATCTGGAAAACATGTCATATCAACAAGACAGTGGGAAAGATTCCTGGGGAGCATGTGGAGTCACTGTCTTTAAATGTTTCTGTAAAGAGGCTAAGCAACTGTCAGGAGAAAACACAGAGCTACTTAGGCACGCTTTGGATCCAGGATCGATGTGATCTGACAGCCCTCCAGATCTGTCTGTCTTGATGTATGTGTATGTCATATACTTAATATTTATAGAGTATGTATTATAGATAAGTTTTTAAATAACATTAAATGTAAATATAAGCAGTGTAAACTACATAAATCAGCAGTGAAATGTTTTTTTTTACTCCCCTAGACCTTTGAATTATTTTAATGAACTGGAACTATCAGGTTTGCTTGGTGATATGCAGGATGCACTAGCAATTTAAGGCAAGAAACGTGAGCAGACAACTGATGTTCTTACAGGGAAGCCCAAATCCCTTACAGAGCAACGCTTCCTTTCTTGCTACCCTGCCTGACTTCCCTTCATTCCCGAGCTAAGGAATTCATTCCCAGTTCCCCATTGATGCGTGTTTCTGTTTCTTTTCATTTCTCTCCCTTTTTTCTCTCTCGGGCTCTGCCGCTCCTGTCCAGGTAGCATGTGTGTGAAAAATGCGCTGAAGCTGGACCCAACGCAGCCGGATGGCTGGAGGGTCCCGTTCAGCCCCCAGGCAGGAGGCTGTGGTGCTGCCATGCGCTCCATGAGCATCGGGCTGCGTTTCTGCCACCCCTCCGAGCTGGACACCCTGGTGCAAGTCAGCATCGAGAGCGGCCGAATGACGCACCACCATCCCACCGGCTACCTGGGCTCCCTGGCTTCAGCCCTCTTCACAGCATTTGCAGTAAATGGAGAGCCCCCCCCGGCCTGGGGGAAGAGGCTGCTGGAAGTGCTGCCACGGGCCAAAGCCTACGTGCAGGACACGGGCTTCTTCGTGGAGGAGAACATGAAGCAATGGTGAGCTGTGCTCCTAGGGTCAGGTTTTGTTACAATTAAAAAAAAAACCCCTCATGTATGAGAGGGTGAGCTTCCAAGTAACCACATTATGATAAACTCCTAGAGAAGCATATGTTTGCCATGGGATCAGATCAATTCAGAAAGTCTCTGAAGTCCCCCAGGGACGGGCTTCTTCGTGGAGGAGAACATGAAGCAATGGTGAGCTGTGCTCCTAGGGTCAGGTTTTGTTACAATTAAAAAAAAAACCCCTCATGTATGAGAGGGTGAGCTTCCAAGTAACCACATTATGATAAACTCCTAGAGAAGCATATGTTTGCCATGGGATCAGATCAATTCAGAAAAAAAAAAAAAAAGAAAAAAAAAAGGTCAGGTTGGGCTTGGGGTGTGTAGTCGTGACATTTTTTGTATCCAGTATGAGGTAGCAGGACTTGCCATCTCAAGCAACTGTGAAGAAGATGGGGAAGCAAGGCCAGGGAGCAGTGCCAGGTTTAGGGCTGAGCTCAGTTTGAAAGTTATAACCAAATCTGGCTGCAGATTCAGAGTGGCCCTGTGCGCAGGAGCACACCCAGACAGGGGTAGAGGTACTCTGAATCTGGGAGGATGACTCAGTTCTCACTCTGAGCCTTTGAATCCTGTGTGGTGCGACAGCAGCAGGTGCGGGGCTGCCTTTTCCCATGTGGCTGGAGGGAGGGGAAATTCAACTCACTGAAACACGTCCTTGTGCTTCTTACTGTAAATCATGTCCCTAGTTTGATGAACAGGAGATGCCTTCCATTTTGCCGAGCCATCGCTCGGGGCTCTTGACGTGGCGCGTTTCAGCTGGCACTTGGAGCGCCTGCGAGGAGCTCACGAACAGGCTGCTGCTGTAGGACATCTCTTACAGCCCCTCCATCCCATCTCCTCTTTTGCAGGCATTACTTTGAAGAGCAATGGAGAAAATACCTGGCAGAGAGGGGCATATCAGATGGGGTCTCGCTGCCTACCTTCCCCCCCAAGTACGGCGTGGAAGAGAGAGACTCGTTCTACACCTCCCTCAGCTATAGTGGCTGGGGGGGCAGCAGTGGGCACGACGCCCCTATGATTGCTTATGATGCCCTGCTGGGTGCAGGGGACTCCTGGGAGGAGCTGGCTCACCGGGCTTTCTTCCATGGAGGGGACAGTGACTCCACCGCCGCCATCGCAGCCTGCTGGTGGGGGGCCATGCACGGCTTCCGGGGGGTCAACGCCTCCCTCTACGCCCACCTAGAGTACAGGGACCGTCTGGAGCAGGTGGCCAAGGACTTGTACCGCCTTGCCTAGGTGGGGGGCAGCAGGGCCCCCCAGGGGAGTGCTTACGCTCGCTCACTCAAGGATTTGCAAACCCAGTTTGCAAACCTGCTGATTAAAGCATGCGAGCATAAGCCAGAGCAGCGTTTGCTTTGTTTGTGTGTGTTGGGTTTGGAGCTTGTGGGGGAAAAGCAGTTAAAAGGGGCTTGGATGGGAGCACGCAACAATGCGTCGGTCTCTCCAGCAGCCAAGTCCTGAGACATCCCTCCTCGTCAGCATGGCAGCTGCACATCATCTGGGCCTCAAGGGGAGCGGGGGCACCCACTGCAGCATTGCTAGTGATGCTCCAGCAGCAGAACAGGCAGCAAAACCAACACAAGCTGCCCCGAAGCAGGTTCCTGCCCCTATGAGCATGCCAGAGGGGCTGAGGGATGCACACCTGGCTGCAGATGGCAGGCATGGGCTGGCAGAGATGCCTCCTGGTGCACCCATGATGGCTTGGCTCATGCTTTCCACCCTGTACTGCTGACGGGGAGTGTCGAGGGACACTGCTGGCCATCTAGCACCGAGCATGTGTAAAGCTGAAACCTCTGCTTGCAGAGATTACAGCATAGAGATTACAGAACCTCTGCACAGAGATTACAGCAGGTGCAGCCCAGCAACCTGCGAGGGGTGAAGGGAGCAAACAGCCAGTTGTGCACAGGGACAAAAGAGTTTTCTCATACAATTATTTTAGCAGAGGATTTAGCAGAGGATCTTTGTTTTAAATAAATGTGGGAAAAAACCCAATCCCAACCTGACAACTGTGTCAGCAGTGGATTTTGCAGAATTTCACAGCATGTTTGCTTTACAGGTAAGAATGTATCACGCTACTTCCCTAACTCAGTTAACGGGGGATTTCAAGACTACTGGCCAAACCCTTATTCAAGCTAAATATGGGTAATAAGAATTAAACTGTTGCATTTTGCATCAGCTTAAGCAACTTCTGCAATAAACTATATTCTTCTGCTTACATCAAGGTTACTAAAGATTATTTGCTTAACATTTGCTGTGGATAATTCTAGAAAAAATGTTTTTTCTTCAAACCCAGACTATGCCACAGGAAAGTACTTGCTATTTTCACAGCAATTTCAAAAATGGTGTGTCCCATTCAATAAACAGACCTGACATGCCTCTGTTAAATGTTATTTTCTATTATGGGATGAATTAAGAGATGTGAGGGAGAAGTATGAAGAGCCAGGGGGTGCAAAGTTTCTGCAAGCTCCAGCCTGGCAGAGAGAGATGTGCTACGGAGGCGGGAGGAGAGTTGATGCATCGGGGAATAGGGATGGTGGGAGAGGGAGAGGCTGCCTAAAAAGGGAGTGGGCTTAGAAGTTCAGCACACTTTTATGCAGGGAGTGCACATAAAGGCATAATGAAGGCCCAAATCTGATAAAAACCAGCAGCAATAGGATTCACAATTTCAACAGTTTACTACAGCTCTCAGGTGTGTTGTATAAAACATGTTTTAGTGCAACATAGTACAAAGTTTTTGCTGTTTGTTTTTTTTAAAAAAAAATAATTCCCAAACATTTTTCCACATCATGCATGGATAGGGTCTCTCTCTTTTTTCTTGGGTTCATTTTAGAAAGTTATAGTAGAGAGAGTGGTTTGAAAAGCTTCATGTTAAAACTTGTTATAGGAAGAGTCTGCCTTGTAAAAACAGAAGTTTTGAGTCTGGGCAACACAATGCCAGAGCACTCGAGAAATGTCCCTGGCAAAGTACATTCAAGGGACCACCGCGGGAGTCATTTCCCAGGAAAGCCAGCACTTGGTGCAGGAACTGCTGGGCTGGGCTGCGACCTGTTTCAACCAGGGGAACAGGGCCACCGGACACCACTCCAGGACAGCCCTGCTCCAGGTCAAACAGGCTGGAGAGGAGTGTGGCTTGGATGCAGCACAGTGCTCTCAGGAAAGAACGGCTCTTGCTGACTTCATTTTTCCTTTAAAGCTGAAAAGAGTTGGAGTTCCTGCCTCGAGCAGTATGTACAGGAAATAATATATTTACAAAACAATACCCACTGGCTGCAGCTGCTGCTGCTTGTGCCTCAGTTCTTCATTTCCATTCACTTCTCATCCCACTCCTCTCTTTACAGAGCCTTATCTAGACAGGGAAAACAAGTGTGTGGGTGTGTGATAGATACATATGTATAGAAGTGTGATATGCATACGCTGGACTCGGTAAGCAGTTACATCTTGAGGAGGCAGACTCTGCAGAGGGATGAGTGAAAATGGGGCTTTCCAGCAGCAGAAGAAACCAATGATGTTCTGGTGGAGGAGCAGAGGTGGCTGACTTGGAATGCTGTGGCATGGGACAGTCAATGGCCACGTGAGTGTTCTCTCAGCTGGGAGAGAAAGATGCATGGTGCAGATCTCCCAACTGAGGCTTCGCCACCTCTGAAATATCAAGGCATCAGGGTCTGACTGACGGGTGCTACAGAGCATCTGCTGAGGTCCCCTTCTCTTCACCAAGAGCACTCCAATCCTCCCGAAGAGGACAGTGGCTGTGGGTATGGCACCTCTCCAACACGAGGCTGGGGTGGGGTGTGTTCTTGTGGCTGCACCCATCCGCTCTGGTTGGCTTCAGCCATCCTGCAAAAAAAAAATGGCCGGATTTGCCAGGAAGACATCAAGGAAGACAACAAAAGGCCATTTTTGGCAAACATTTTCTTCCGCCAGACAATGTTGAGGGCATATTGGGGAGGAGGCGGTTTCCTCCACAGGACAGGGCAGGGGTGCTTGGCATTACAGGGTACAGGAGCTGAAGTGCCGCATGTGGCAAGAGCCCTGATTTGGTTTGCAAGAGCCATATCTTTCACAGAAAGAACAGCATTTCCTGCCACAGTGACTGCCTAGGAGAAAAGCCAGGAGAAGGAGCTTATGGAGAAATTTTTCCTCCTAAAGCCCCAGCAATGACAAATGGCAGAAGCACAAACACATGCAGGGGAACATTCCTCTCAGCCCAAGAGGACAGGGAAGCTTGTGACAGCACCAATGCAGCACAGGCTCCTTGACCTGTCCAAGCTCACGTCAGGAAGCAGCGCAAGCTGTGAGGAAACTCATGACGTGGTTAACTGCATGTCCCTGCTGTGTGGCATGGCTACAAATGGACTCCTTTTGCTGCACCATCCAGAGGCTGTGAACCCAACTCATGGAGCTTCCTCTTTCCCCCTTTCTAGAGTCATTACTTTGGTCATGTTGAAGTCTTCAGCAACTGGATCCAGCCACAGGTCCCCAGGCGACTGAGGCACAGAGGGGACCCACCTCATCAGAGGTGCCAGCATGAACACCAGGGAGGAGTATGACTCTGGCGAGCTGAACCATATGAGGACCCTCTTTTTTACCAAAATGGCAGGGTTTTCAGCTGTCCTTCTTCCATACCACCCTTCATCTCCTGGAGACAAACTAAATTGCTTTTGTCCTGACTGCAAGCACACTGAATAGTCAGTCTCTCCAAGATGGGGGAACGCTCCTAAAGGTGAATTGGCCTCTCCTGACAGAGCACTAAGATGGAGGCAAGAAGATGCTGAGGCTACAGTCTTTGCAATGGACCTCCTGATCCTCCTCCAGAGGTCACCTGGCTTTGCCTGCTTTGGAAGAGGGAATAGCTAGCTCAGTGCACCTTGGAAAAAGACCTTCACCATGGCACCAAGTCTGAGGAGGAAAACCACAGTCTGTCTTGGAAAGCATATACATTTACTTTCAAAGAGATCGTCCCAGGACCAGATACCCCCAGGAACTCCTCTCTGTGTGGAGGGGGAAGGAAGCCTACAGTTCAGTTCTTTGAGCATATGAAAAAGAAATTACGACAAAAAAGTAAGAGCCCAAAGGACAGCAACTGATGGGAGCAAAATTAATCTGAGAGAAACATCATCCACTATGTACAGCAAGTGCAGGGACCCTTCGTCCATCAGGGTGAGAGGGTGTGTTCCCACTGCTGGAGGAAGCCTGGGACCTTCCTGTTTCTGCCAGCTGGGCACTCTGCAGAGCTCAGCTGCCAGACCAGAGCACAGACACTGAAACAAATGAAACAAGAACAACAAAAAACACTCTGTTCCTTAGGGTTCCTGGTGTGTCTCTGCTTCTCTCTCTCTCTCTCTCTCTCTCTCTCCATGTCCTCCTGGGTGCCTCTGACTCTTTAGTCTATGGTTCCTGGGTGAATGCTGAGGACTGGCGGCTCTAAGCAAGTAGGAGAGTAGTTGAGGTGAGGCTCTTTGATCCACAGCAGGGGGACCCCGTTCTTGCCCTCCGAGTTCTTGCTGGAGTTTCGACTCTTGAACCGCACCAGGAGGATGGTGATGATCAAGATGCCAAAGATGGGGAAGGGGTAGAAGAACACAAAGTAGAACAAGGCGTCGTTGGAGCATATGACAGACTGCAGGGTAGAGCCTGGAAAGAGATACAGGATGGTCACACATCACAGCTTCTCTGCAACGCACAGCCTATAAACTTATTCAGAAACATGATGCTCATTAATATGTGTCTATGCAGGAGGTGGGGCTCCAAGAAAAATACCAATATAAAACAGAGCAGAAGAAAAGTGCTGTTGCAGGGCATGTTTTGGCATGTTCTCCCCAGGAGTTCCTTCTGGGAGTACTATAGTCCTCCCTGGGCTGATGCCTTAAAAATGTGGGGAGCCTTGCAAAGAATCACTTCCCTCAGTGGTGGTACAGAGACAGCACTTCAGGGTATCTCCCATAAGGGCCCACAAAACTCTCATGACCTCAGTTATCTCTGGGGCCTCTAAATGATCCAATGGCTTCCAGAGTTACTGGGAGGAGACCCTTGTACCACAGCCTTGGGCAGAGCTAATGCAACTTCCAGGGTGTTTTCCAAAAGGAAAGGCTAAACCCCAGTGGGGAGCAATGTCCACCCTCACTGGCCTGAGACACACCAGGTGGATCAGATTCATTAATGCCGACGGGCACGGGGCACAAGCACAGAGCTAAATGCAGTTCAGGTGCTCGAGCCCATGAGCTTGGGCGAGGAGCCAG